GAAAATTAGGCATTTTCACGTGGTAGTCATAAAGTGACGGCAACGAAATATACAAAAAAGGGTGTTGCACGTGAAAAGTTGTTGTTTTGCCATGTCAAGCTATTACTTTTTTTACTTTCTCGTCGCCGCTTCATCTTAAACTTCCTATTATTTACGATACATTGTGATCCGTCAGAAACAGAATTTTCTCAGTGCAAATTGAATTGCTCCTGCTGATAGCATCCGAAACGTTTTTCGACTCATCGGTAGTTCCTTCGTTTCTGGTCAGGAAAGCTTAGTGAACAAACCGGGCAACTGTGGCGAGATAATAGACGTTGTGTACGAACTCACGAAAAGAACTCGGGAGCCTTAGTGCTGTTCGCCGATTGAGCACAGAAATACAAAGCATTTTTTGTGCCCAATCAGGAACCAGCATTCTCTTGACCGTTTGGAAATAGTCCGGTGAGAGTAGGTACCCAGGGGCTCTTCCGCCTGTGCTTGAAAACTTTCGTCGCGCCTTTTAACCCGGCCCGACTGACTGCCCCTGGGTCTCCGAGGATGGGCTGGTAGGAGAGAACCCTGGGAACGAGGTTGTCACGCTTCGGGCGTGAAAAAAAGGATTCTGAGATTCTGAGAACCAACTCTTCAAAAAATTTATTTGAAGAAATCATTAACAACTTCAAGTCACACTTGCGTGTCCGAGGATATCCAGCTAGATAATCTGGTAAATAACGTCTTCGCAGAAGTTAAATTTACGGATAGAGAGTCGGCACTTCGGCAAAAACCGCAAGGAAAAAACATCTTTTGTTACACAGTACAACCCATCAGTGCCTAGTCTTAAAAAGGTTCTAATTAATGGACAAGTGGCATTTAATTGAAAATCAGAACCACCTCGAATCTCCTACAGAAGAGGGAAGTCTCTAAAGGACATACTTGTTAGAGCTAAACTTTGAAGGTCAAAGTAATATTACATCGCGAAACAGCGGGAGTCGTGTTTAGCCTGTCAACCTCTTTTAACGAAATTAATCTTTCACTATTTAATAATACAATCATAGGATAATAAAAATACAGTCATAGGATAGACAATCTTGCTAAGTGTACACAAATATTTTGATCACAATTTATGAACCATTTAATTCAAAATAAATCATTACTTAATCAAAACTCTTGTTTCATGCGCTTTGTGTTTTTATCCAATTGCTACCTCGGGCTGACCACGGAGGAATACGGACATCATTTAATCATTTCACCAGAACGAGCGTTTCATCTCAAATCTGCAGACTGATATGTTTTCCTTTTACATGAGTTCAACATCTTGTGAGTGCAACGTTCTGACTGCACATTTTTCTGTTCCTTCACACCCGCCCAGAGCTTTAGCTAGCACACCCTTATCAAAAATAACTTTTTTATAACAATATTTAAAGAGGAGGCTTTCAGGCCCGTAGGCAGGATTTTTTACGGGGAGATGCGATCCAACGAGTCCGGGGGGATTAGGTGTTCTAAGACTGCATTTCAAGCCTTTTGAAAAACGGTTTATTTCTCAAACTTTTAATCTTCAAAAGTATTTTTTTTAGAATGGCAACGCGGGATGTAACTATTTAAAAGGAAAAAAAGTAGAAAGAAAGTTGTAAATCCGCATTATTCGCTAGGTTTGATGTATGACTGTTTGCATCATGATCTTTCAATAGTGTGCCAAGCTCAAGCTACCTTGGGTGTTTCTTATAAACCGATCAATCAAAGACTTCTTTCAGATCAATGTATATTAGATAGTGAATGTGTATAATTAGCCAGGGAAGAGAGTCTCTCTTGTGCCGAGAATACTACTTTTGGCCACAAAAAAAATAAAATAGATATTTTAAGCTACCCTCCAAGACAAAGGGCCAAACAAAACAGGAACAATGCCTTTTTCCTTCAAGAAAAAGAAAGTGCCCGAGATCCACCCCTTGTAGTTGCTCACGCCACAAAAACAACACAAAGTTAATACTAATGTTGCTCCCTGGCTAGCAAATGTCGCAATAACCGCAAATGGAGAAATAATAACATCATCGAGCTCCGGTCGTAAGACTTGCATTATTCTCAAATTACATTAAAGCGGTTGCAGTTCAGACTAATGCAAGCAACACTGTTGACCGAGTGGCAGTGCAATTTTTTATACTACACTGAAGAGCAGCATTAGCTAAAATAGGATTTTTAATATCCTGCGAGCAACGCAAAAGGGCTGGTCCCAGCATGTCAAAACTATCCCAGATAACCTTTTACTTACTGTGAAATTACTGTGAAAATAGCAATTCAGATCCAGCTCGCAGGAAACTAAGGCGCGGAAACGAAGCCTAAAGATTGTTAAGCCACTTTTAAAAAAGATAGGAAAAACGAACACCTTCAGCTAGCCTGATGGAGTGAAGATAAGAATCCACAGGCAACCACTGAACAGCAAAAGGCCACAAGGCTCCCAGTAAAAAGAAACTGGGCAAGAAAACATTTGCTCAATCCGCACTACGAATCCTCCAATTAAAACAGACTT